CGGAATTTTGGATGCTTCCCCCAGTCCCCCTGATACGCTCCGAGCCCAAACCCTGAACTCTGAACCCTAAACCCCAAACCCCAATCCCAAAACCCTAGACCCCAATCCCAAAACCCAAAACCCCAAGCCCAAAACCCTAAACCCCAAGCCCTAAACCCCAAAACCCGAAACCCCAAGCCCAAAACCCTAAACCCCAAGCCCTAAACCCCAAAACCCGAAACCCCAAGCCCAAAACCCTAAACCCCAGAACCCTAAACCCCAAGCCCTAAGCCCCAAACCCTGAACCCCAAGCCCCAGAACCCTAAACCCCAAGCCCTAAAACCCAAACCCTGAACCCCAACCCCAGAACCCTAAACCCCAAGCCCTAAGCCCCAAACCCTGAACCCCAAGCCCCAGAACCCTAAACCCCAAGCCCTAAAACCCAAACCCTGAACCCCAACCCCAGAACCCTGAACCCCAACCCCAGAACCCCAAACCCCAAGCCCTAAGCCCCAAACCCTGGTACTACTGGTTGCTTGGAGGATCATGGGACTTAGTAAGTAGGGTTATAAGTACCCTAATTGGGGTTATAAGTAGTTATAACTGTAGTTCCTTTACTTATAACCCTACTTTCTATGTCCCATGATCCTTTAAGTACGATGGCGCGAGCAGGCAGAGGGACTCATGCCTTCAGCCGGTGCCCCAGTGACGGTTTGCTGGACCGGTTTATAGGGCTGTGGGGTTTAGGGGTTTAGGGGTTTTGGGTTTAGGGTTTAGGGTTTAGGGGTTTAGGGGTTTAGAGGTTTAGGTGTTTAGGGGTTTAGGGTTTAGGGGTTTAGGGGTTTGGGGGTTTAGGGTTTAGAGGTTTAGGGGTTTAGGGGTTTAGGGGTTTAGGGGTTTAGGGTTTAGGGGTTTAGGGTTTGGGGCTCAGGGATTTAGGGTTTAGGGTGGTTCAGTTTTTTGAGGTTTGGGTTCCCATTGCGGGTTTAGGATCTAGGGTTGAGGGCTTCGGGATCTCGGGTTTCGGATTGGCAGTTTACGGGGGGTTTAGGGATGAACTTGAGGAGTTCATCATGCGGTGTGTCCTTACAGGCAGGGGTGTTGCTCGGATTGGCTTGCTGAAACCCTTAATCCAGAAGCCTAAATCCTAAAGACCCTCAACTCGCATTGCTAAGACCCTCAGCCTTAATCGCCAAGCCCTTAATCCTACAATCCTTGTGAAGCCTTCGAAACCGTGAAGGCTCTAGAATCCAAATTTTAAAAGACTTTTCTAAATCTCACAGCCAAATCTAGATCAAAAAACCATTGTAAAACCTAATTCCTCAAGACCCTAAGCTCTACCCATAGGCCCCAAAGTAGTTCCTTTTTGGGGTTCATATATATAGAATTCTATTAGTTACTCCCAAAAAGGAACTACTTTGGGGCCTTAGGGTAGACCCTAAAACCCTTTCAACCCCTAAATTCGACAGCCCCCAAACCGTGGATCGAAACCCCCTTGGTACAGCCAGCACTTAAAGGCCCTAAACCACCAAATCCTAGCGCTAAATCCTACAAAGAAGCTCTGCCAAGCTTAAATCTGAACGACCCTGAACTCTAAAGGCCAGAACTGCTGTAATGCCTAAACCCTAAATCCTAAAACTCTTTTAATATCCCTGGCCAGCCTAAAGCCTGAACACCCTAAGCCGCAAACCCGGATAGCCTTGAGGCTTTGCTGCTTGCATCTTGGGGTTTTGTGGCACCGGCATGGAGATCCGGGGGGGGGGGGGTTATGGTTCAGGGTTTAAGGTTTAGGGTTTAGGGTTTATGGTTTAGGGTTTATGGCTTAGGGTTTAAGGTTTAGGGTTTAGGGTCCATGGGGTGTCTTACCAGGGGCATTTTTAGGGTTTAGGGCTGTGAGGTTTCAGGTGTAGGGTACTTCTTCAGGGGTTTCCAGGATTTAGGGTTGACGGTGAAAGGCTCGACGTTTAAGGTGTAGGGTGCTTCTGTAGGAGTTTCTATGATGGTCTCCTACTGTTTAGGGTTTAGGGCATAGGAGAACGGTTCTTCTAAGGTTCCTACAAGTGTATACCATAAAGGAATCAGCTTGTGGTGATCTATTGTACTCAGGGCATACCGCAATGGGGACCATTTGTGGTCACGCCCCACCCTGAATCAAGAGCCCCTTTCAGGATTCTTGTGGGTTGTGTTTGGGACGCATAAGTCGCGGGTCACAGATTTGGACCACTCGAGCGCCTTTGAACAAAGACCCGACTCTATGCGAACTTGCTTGTGAAAGGGCATGCGAGGTGGGTTTTGAATTTACTTGTATTACCTATAGGACACCCAAATGACCCCAATATTGCAGCAGATGACACACACACACACACACCACACACTGTATAGTGTTTGAGCGTGCATGCACGTGTCTTGGGGTTTATACGTGCACGTGTATGTGTATGCCATGCACAAATGTGTGCTGTCTAGTGCATATGTGCTTCTGAATGCAAGCCCCTGTACATGTGATTGGGTGCGCATGCAGCTATACGAGCGCTACAACTGCCATCTCAATTTCGCCAGCAATGCCTACTCCTGCCGACCCGGTGGAGATTCGCTCTATCCAGCCTGAACCTCGAGGCTTTAAACAACTATTGTCCGAGAATCTTCGCCCGGAATCCCTTGACCCTCCGCCCTAACCCTAAACCTTACTTGGAGGATTATGGGACTTAGTGAGCAGGACTATCAGTACCTTAATGGGGGTTAGAAGTAATTATAACTGTAGTTACTTTACTTACAACCCTTCTTCCTAAGTCCCATGACCCTTTAAGTATAAACCCAAAAACCCTAGACCCTAAACCCTAAACTTTATAAACCCAAAAACCCTAAACCCTAAACCTTATAAACCCAAAAAAACCCTAAACCCGAGTCACACGTTTCCACCACAGCCAGGTCTTCGCACGCGCCTCCAGGACCGACCTGGCCATGGGTACGGTGCTCTCCGGCCGCGAGGCCTCGCAAGAGGCTAGGATGCCCAGTAGTACCCTTACGGATCTATAAGGGTTCCTTAAAGGGATCTATAAGGGCTCTATAAAGGGTTTAGGGTTTTTTTGAAAATTAGGGGCTAGGATGCCCAGTAGTACCCTTATTCCCTTTTTGGAGTCGTAGGTTCCTTATAAAGTTACCCAATACCCAAAACAAGAGAGGCCTTTTTTAGTCTTAGGTTACTGGGTATCCTAGGAGGTGTCAGGTCTAAAGTGGAGCATAGCACGGTTTAGGGCTGGGCGTACTGTAGGGGCCTGAAGCACAAGAATAGGGTTTTCGGGGTTCCTTAAAATGATGATTAATGATAGTACACTATACCCCCAAACCCTATTCTAATCATTAAGGCTCAGGGCAGAAAAGTTGAGCTGTGGGGTTCTATGAACAGCAATCTATCGCAGGGTTACCTCTGAGATTGAGCAATTTTAAGGTTTGGGTGTTCAGGGTTTAGGGGTTTGGGCTTTAGAGTTTGGAGGTTAGGGTTTAGGGTTCGGCTTGGGGTGTAAGTCTCGGGAAGGAGCCAGGCATAGCGTGTCGACTTCGGTTTTAGGAACAAGGGTCCCGTGTGGGGTCTGATCGTTCATATGTTTTAAGTAGGGGCCGAAGGCGTCTGTACGATTGTCTGAGGCTGCACGAATTGCACCGCTTAACCCTAAATAACCCCAGACTCTAAGCCCTGAACCCTAAACCCTGAACCCCGAGCCCTAAACCCTTATGCTAGTCGGTTCTCAGTTTGGCTCGACAGGCAGACAGGTCGAGAACCAAAAGGACTCTAAGCCAAGGAGAGATGGCATGCGCAGTGCAAATCCTGGCAGCTTTCAGGGTTTACAGTAGAAGCCCAAAAGTTGGAAACCCAATAGCCTCGACTCTTAAGATTGATACATGGGAGTTTCCGAAATTAGGGGTACCTTATTTTGGGGGTCCTTATAGTAAGGATCCCATTATTCAGGGTACTATCTTAGGGTCCCCTATTTTCGGAAACTCCCACATAGGGAATCCCAGCACTATTTGGCCTTAATCCGGTTTCCAACTTTTATGGGGTTTACTATAGGACTTGGGCTTCAGGGATGCCCTGGGTTGAGGATTTAAGGCTAAGGGAGGATTCAGAGTTTCGGGTATAGGGCCGTCCAGGATGTAGGCTTTAGGATTTACCGTTTAGAGCTTAGGGACACCCAAACCTTACACCTCCGCTTTTCAAAAGAAGAAGCTGTATAATTATCCGAAAGCACCCAAACTCGACAGAGACCCCTAAACTCCTAAACCCTAAACCCTAAACCCCTAAACCCCCCAGACCTTCCAAAATCCCTCCTTAATTAAGGAATATACCTTAAATCATATTAAGGATCCTATTTTAATTTAAGGTATATTCCTTAATTAAGGGATTTTGGAAGGTCTGGGCCAAACCTACACACCTAAACCCTAAACCGAAAAAGGCCCCACTGCACTTAAAAAAAACAAAACTCTAAACCCCTAAACCCCTAAACCCAAACCTACACAATCTCGACTCAGACCTTTTCCGGCAAGGCGGTTGGCGAGGAGTCACTTGGGCTCCCCTCGCAGAGTTGCAGTCGGAGCTCCCGTGGGCTTATAGGGTTTAGGAGTTTAGGGTCTGCGGGTTTAGGGTGTAGGGGTTTAGGGGAGATCGGATTTTGAAGGGTTTAGGGTTTAGGGGTTTACGGGTATAGAGTTTAGGGTTTACGGCAGGCTTTCGTTAGGTTTCTATTTCATGTTTTCCTTTCTTGGGCTCAAGAGGATGCCCTGTACTCGTATTAGGATTCAGGGTTTTGGGTTTAAGGTTTAAGGTTTAAGGGGCTAGGTTTTAGGGTTTAGTTTAGAACTGAAAGGAGACCACAGGTCTCAAAAGAGGCAACCCAAGGAAAGACCCTGCCTAAACACAGACACGACCTAAAACCCGAAACCCCCGGGGACCCAGCCTCGTAGTACAGCCGCGGCTTTTCGCGACTGCACAGACTCGTGTGCCTTCCACGGCGACGGTCGTTGGCCTTTCAGCACAAACTAACTGATTTACACTGATTCGAAACTTCCTCCTCCCTGAAAGTCAGGTCGAAGGGGGAGGTAATCATACTCCACCAGTCATGGCCTTTCATAGGCTTAGTTAGCACATCGGCCAACTGTCTGGTGGTGGGTACCCAAGCGAGTCGACCTAAGGGCTTGATGTCCTGTCGCACCGCAGCCAGGTCTATCGCTAGCCTACGATCACACGGGATGCGCGGTATGCCCTCCCTCGTAAGGTGGTCGTACAAAGACCTACAGTCACTCAGGAACCTCAGCTTGATGTTCCCCGTAGTCTTCCGCTGGAGGGAGCCGCGCAAGAGCGTCTCCAGGAACTTCTCGAGGTAGTCGCCGCCTTCCACTGCCATACAACACGCCATCGTCTCCGCAGCGAAAGTGGACCGGCAAACACGCTCACAGGCTCCACTTTTCCAGTCGAGGACACTCAGGTAGGACTTCTGGCCTTGGAGGATCTCCTCGTTCGCTAGCACGTAGATGCACCCGAGCTGGGAGGCTATTCGGGAGTTGTTCCGCTTGGTTTTCCTCGGTTTGTTGAGGAAGGGTCCTTCCTTGAACACTCCGTCCTCGTTCTCCTCCTTGGTGAGCTGGTAGACGGGGTCGTCCTCATCTTGTGGTGCGTTGGCCCATCCGGCGTCGTGGTAGCACAACAAAACGGCCTTATCGAGGTCGATGGGGTGGAAGTAGACCCCCTCCTTCTTGTGCTCGTACGCCCGGCGTGCGACCAAGTTCGTGAAGCGCACGTCCCCAACAGTGGGACACTTTTGCAGCTGCTGACACATTGACACACTGGCTTGTAGATCGGGACGTGATTGTCCCGCTAGCCACGATAGGGCGCCGATCAGGCTCCTGTTGTCAGCGAGCTGCTCGTCAGTAGCCAGCTCTTCGTCTCTTTGGGAGGCCTGGACATCGACCTGGAACAGTCGGGATTCCACATAGGATTCCTGCGACACCTTCACGACCTTGTCGTCAAACTCGATGAAGGATCCAATGTACTCGAAAGCATCCGTCTCCCATCCGTCGATGGGAAAAGCCTTGGAAAGTAGGTCTTTCACGCTTTGGCACACTCCTGGTCCTCCGACAAGCAAGACGTCATCCACATGGACCGCGATGTAGGCAATGGGCTCGGAGAGGGAACCTTCGATCACCTTCTTCACGAAGAACACGCAGGGATCCAGCGGGCACTGCTCGATCACACATTCAGTCCCATCCTCGAGGACCGGTTTGAGGGTGGTCACGTCGCCCTTAAACCGTTCCCACCAACTGTGGGGTGAGTCCACGAGGCCGAAGATTCCCTTCTTGATTCGGAGCAGTTGGGCTGGGTGTAGGTTGCCCAGTCCAGTGCGCGGCTGCTTCAGGTAGAGCTCTCGTTCCAGCGGACCTCCGTTGAGGAAAGCGGCGGTGATGTCGCCGGCGTAGGCCTTCCATCCATCGGCCAAGCGTGAGGCCAAAATCTGCATCAGGAGCATGACAGATTGTCTGGAAACCGTCGGGGCAGTAGTCTGGAGGCCGTGGGCGATGTCTGGATCCATGTGTCCTCCGATGACCAACCTTGCCTTGTGGCGCCAGGGCACGTCCGGATCCTTCCGGCGTTTCGCGTAGGACTTGTCACGATACGCAAATCGTGACTGTAGCACCCGGTCCCTCTTCTCGTCCATGATGCGGAGGCTCTCTTCGACGCTAAGGGGTTCCAAAGCCTCGTGCTCGATGTGCTCCATGTACTGTTTCTGCTCCGCACCCTTGAAGGCTTCGTGTTGCTCCTGGGGTATGAGGTTCCATGGCAGCTCTTTTTCGAGCTGTTTCTCTCGTCCCCTCGCCGTCTTTGCCCTCTTCAACATCATCACTTCGTCAGGCTGCCCGTCAGGAAGAGACATCTCCTCGAGGATGTCATCGAGATCGGGATCATGGTCAGGAAGCGCTTGGGGAGGAACACGACCATCCGGATCCTGAGGGCCCTTCATCCGATAGCGCTTGGCCACCGGTCCAAAGAGAGGGAGATGTTGGCTGTCGCGCACCCGGCCGCCTTCGTCGACCTCAATCGCATCTCCGTCATCTCCTGGGAAGAGGACTGGGTCCTCCTCGACATCGTCTCCTTCGAACAGGACATCGTCGGGGTTCACTTCCAAGAGCTTCTCCAAATCTTCCTGCGTTGACTTCAGCGTAAAAGTCTCGCCGATCTCTTCGCTCGTTGCCCGCCGGATGTGCTCCGGCGCTGTAAGGTGACAACGTCCTCCACGGGAGAGCCATATGTTCGAGCCCTCGTGCCCTATCACGGTGGCTGGCCCCAACCAACGCCAGAACTTCTGGTTCTTCGCCTTGCGGTAGAAGTAGACCAGGTCTCCGACTTCAAGGTCGGGTCCACTGACACGGCTTCTCTGGAGGAGGGCTCGTCGCAGTTTGGCGTCCGCCTGACAACGAAAGTATGTCTCCTTGGCGGCAGTCCTTAGAGCATGTTCCTTGGCCCGTTGGCGGTCGTGGGTGATGATGTGCTCGAACTGTTCCGGGTCTCTCCCGGAGAGAAGTTCTCCAGGAACTTCCGGATCTTTCCCCCAGACGGCCTGACTTGGGCTGAATCCGTTCTTCCTTCGCAGCTCGTTCATCGCGCTGTTCACTGCAGTGGTGGCGAGGTGGATGTCGTCGCTGCCGACAGAGTGGTCGTCGACGATCCGGTCCCAGATTTCCTTCCACACTCGGATATGCCGTTCCACGGTGCCTTGCTGCCAGTGCGCCTGCCCGGCGGCCGACCTCATCTTCACCCCATAGAACTCGCTGTAGCGCGCGAGCCCGGCTTGAAGACCTGTCTCCAGGTCAACCGCGATCGTCCCAGGGGGCCCAAACACGTGACTCCATCCTTCACAGAAATCCTGTTCCATGGCTTCGGTGCTGTGGCCGCGCAAAGGCACCACTACTTGAAATGACGTCCCGTAGTCGATCATCATCATGAACTCGTGTCTCTTTCCCCAGGCATCGTAGGCCGAGAAAGCATCAACCCCGACAACCTGGTTGAAGTCGAGGAGCGTTGGAGCAGCAGAGGGGCGTGCACTTTGCCCCCGTTTGTTCCTCGCGCACACCTCGCAGCGTAGGCGCTTGGCGGCTGCCACCACTTCGGGTCCGGCTCCCGCTAAACGTAGATGCCTCCCGAGGTCCTCATAGCCGATGTGTCCCAAATTCTGATGAAGCCGCTTCAGAGAACTTCGTACTTCCGGCTTGATGGTGGGGCCCGGAGCGAAAGAGATAGCTGAGCTCCCGTTGTGCTTGGGTTCCGGACTTCCGATCGGTTCATCAACGGCAAAAACCGTGTCGTTGACCGCCTCCTTCTTCGTCTCCTCACGCCGACACAGGTAGGTTTGTAGGGTTCTCGGTCCCCACTCTTCCTCGACTGGAGGGAGCAAAGTGTGACCACAGTTGATCTTCACGTAGTAGGAGTCTCCTTTTGTTTCATGCTTCACGTCCTCTAGCTCCTTGAGGGCTGACTTGAAAACTGAACTCTCGAGCATTTCTGTGGCCCCTGTTCGTGATTGGAAAACAACCTGTCTCCCTTGGGCGATCTGCTCAGAAAGCAACTCGAAAACGCTCGGGATGTGGTCGGAGACATGGCAGCTGTGGATCCAAACCGTGCCGGGCTTGAGCTCAACGATGGTCTCGTAGACGTCGTTCCACACGGCAGGGTCGTTGAGGTCCTCGTCGATCAGGGGCTCGGCGGTGAAGAAGTTGAGCTCGCCCAACTCCAGAGTCTTCGAATCCCCTCCGATCTCGAGGAGTGCCACCGAATCCTTGCCCCGGCCCGATGGGTATTCGGGCAGGAGGTAGCTCGCAGTAGCCATCGAGGACCAAGTCGCCAACGCGGCCATGCGTTTGACATTCTGCCAGAGCTTCCTTCTCGAGCTCTTCTTTGGTCGATTCTTCTCCAGTACGGCGCGGAGCCGCTGCAGCTTTCTCAAAGGAAAACGTAGAGCTCGAAGTTGATCGCATTGTTGAGTAGTAGCTTCCTTGAATCCACGAGTGGTGAAGCAGGTGAGGCACCATCGGTCGCCACTCCAAGGTTGGGTGGCGTGCTTGACCTTGGAGTCGAAGAAGTAGGGCCTCCACCTTGTATCAACAATCCTTCCGCGAAGGACCTTTCCGGTAGGGTCACGCCTCTCCACACACTCCTCTGGACGAACATCCTCGTCGTGTATCCAGAGCTCGCCACCGGAGAAGTCCCCGAAGGACATTGTCACATTGAGGACGCCGTTGAGGTTGTGGTGGTCGCAGTGCACCTCGGTGGCCACATTTTTGTTGAGGGCAAAAGAACACCATCCGTAATCATCTCCGGTCCGCTCACGAACGTAGGCATTGACGTAACTCACAAAGGAGGGAAGCTCCTCGCTGAACTTGCTGAGGCCCGACATAGCACCGTGGGTCCAGAGCCCACCGAGGACGCCTTCGACCTTCACCTCCTTGCCGCCGTAGATCTGCCGGTGACGTTGTCGCTGGCGTAGGTCAAGCGTAGTCACCACTTCCAACAGGTCTTCGTCGTTGAAGGCCTTGTGCTTCAGCTTCCTCTGGGCACACGACTCAACTTCGGATATGTGGTCTGAGGAAAATAGGCACTCTTGGTACTCATCGAGGAGGTTGGGATCACCGGGAATCCAGGCCAGACGGTCCTCCCTACTTCCATGCGGTTGGACATCGAGACTTCCTTGTAGTGGATCACGTGGTAGATCGCCTCCGTCTCCTCGTGGTAGATCGCCTCCGTTTCCTTGCGGTAGCGCATCAGGACTTCCTTGTAGTAGATGGCGCGGTAGATCGCCTTCGTCTCCATGCGGTGGTAGAACAACGGGACTTCCTCGTAGTAGATCACGTGGTAGATCGCCTCCGTCTCCATGTGGTCGAACATCAGGACTTCCTTGTAGTAGATCACGTGGTAGATCGCCTCCGTCTCCATGTGGTCGAACATTAGGCCCTCCTTGTAGTAGATCACGTGGTAGATCGCCTTCGTCTCCATGCGGTGGAACACCAGGACTTCCTTGTAGTAGGTCACGTAGTGGAACGCCTCCGTCTCCATGTGGTCGAACATTAGGACTTCCTTGTAGTAGATCACGTGATAGATCGCCTTCGTCTCCATGCGGTGGAACATCAGGACTTCCTCGTAGTAGATCTCGTAGCAGATCGCCTCGTCCTTCTCGTTGTGGATCATGGAGAGGATTGTGCCAAAGGCCTCGGAGGATCTCTAGGGGTTTTCCCAAAACGCTTCGAAGGTCATCTCGAACCTCAGCGAGTGACGGGAGCGCCCCAGCGTAGTCGGCATCACGGTGTGTGGGGGGATGGCTGCCGACCGGCGGCCCCCCACAGCCCTTCCCTCTCACTGGTTGTTGTCCTCGCCTGCGCGAGGAGCCCGAGCGAGTCCATGTCGATCTCGGATCACCGCAAGCCTGGTCTCCAGGTGTTGGATCTCGTCCATCACTTCCGCGTCCATTTCGGTCTGCATCTCTGGCCTGGAACCAAACTCGCTGCTCGCAGAGGATGTCGGCAGTGGACGACGGTAGCCTCCCCCGGCCTTGGCCTTGGGAGTGGTCGTGGGCCTCGTGTCGGTGGTGTTGTCCTTGGGCATCAGTACCCAGCTCAGGGCCTCGGAGTCCTCGGGAACATATGGTGTCGTGGCGTTCAGCTCTGGGTCGTCCTCGGCCACATAGCGCCTGGGCTGAGTCGACTTCTCCAGGTTCTTCTTGCACCAACTCGCGTAGGCCACCAAGTCCTCCGACGCCGTCTTGCTCGATGCGGCCTCCGAGATTGCCCAACGCCTGTAAGAGAGGGGCGTCTCCGTGAACAGGCATCCTCGGTGACGTCCGAAGGTCATCACCAATTGTTGGCCCCCTCCGGCTTGGTCCCGGATGAGGCGTAGCACGCCTCCCTTCGTTGTCCCCGGTGGAACCTTCACGTTGAGGTCCTCGGCCATCGTGATGAGCTGAGCCAGGGTCATCTTCGACACTCCGGGAGGGAGCTCTCCCGACGTTGCTGAACTGGTAGTGGCCTCGTTCTCCAGGTCGTCCTTGATCATGTCCCGGATTTGCGGGACTGTCCATCGTGGGTTCACCCACAATCCTCGCGCTTGGGCCTCCGTCAACAACTCGTCCTTCGTGAACTCCCAAAGCCCTTTCGGGCGCGTCACCATCGGCGCGGTCAACAGGGTCCTCTTCGGAGCCATTTTCACCGCACAGAGGTAAAGGATCGCAGGGATGCATGGGCTTCCTAGCAAAAACGGTTCTCCCGATCCAGAGTGTAGCGTAGGAAGGACAGGCAGTCACCGACTTCCACAAATCATGCTGGGATGACAGCTCACGACGATCTCTGCATGACACTCCCCATGTATTGCGAACTTCACCGAGTGTTTCAAGAAGCGCCTGCTTGTGTTCATCGTGTGGTGTTGTCCAAGCGTTGGGATCGAAAAAGGTTCTCCTAGGTATGATGTGAACTCGTACGAGAGAATGAGGCCCTTCCACCCAAAAGTCATTAGTGATATTTGTTGTCTCCCACCAGGCAATAAACGCATGAGCACACAACTTGTCCCCGAGAAACATGTTTGTAGTGGCCTTCCCAATCTTCTTAGGAAAGAAAAGTCTTCGACTGTTGGGACCATAGGCTGCTGCAGACTGGACTTCTACGTCAACTCGTTCCTGTGCAGGGCTAGGATCCGAACTCATGCACTCGGCTGCAAAGACCGTATATTGCGGACGCCTCGAGATGATCTGGATCTCGGCTGCCTTCCACTCCGGTTGAGTGGACGCTTTGCCACAAAACTGTTCAGGGCGCACAGTGAGTGCAGGGTGCCCCGTCTCAGTGACATCAAGCTTGAGGCCTTCGACCCCGACACTGCGGAAATCTGCCTGATTGTTGGCGACGTCCAAGATCATGCCGAGCTCGCCGAGGACGGTCCTGCTGAGCAGGAGAGGCACATCTCCATTCACAACACACACGCGGATCTTCACCAAGGCATTCCCCAAACCAAAAGAAACCACAACGGCGTACGCCGACTCGAACACCTTAGAGGCCCCAAAGCGGAAAGCGTCCCGGGCGTTGAGGATCTCCGGCTCAAACCCGGCCTTCTTAGCAGCAACAAAGTAGGCATCCATCCAAGGGGCCCCTGCCACCGTCTTAGAACAGGCCGTATCGGTAATCGCCTGGAAGCTGCTCCCCTTGTCCTGCTCGATGTCCCAGGTGACGTGCACGACATGGCACGGGAAGTTGTCGCGGGGGCCGTTGTTCTTCGTGGCGGCATAGCCTTGTCCTGAACCGGGCGCAGGTTTGGTTGGAGAGCCTGTGCCGCCAGTCCCTTCGCGAGTGCGCCCTTGGTTTAAGGGGCACTCCGGGTCCTTATGCCAGTGCCCTCGCCTCTTGCACCCTGCGCAAAAGGACCGCGCTTTCACCAAGCGCAACTTCTCCGCCGCAACCTTCTTGATGGCCTCCGGATCCGATCCTCGCATTCGCGAGCTTTCGCGATACTTTTGCTTCGCCGACTCATGAGTCATATACGTCTCGTAGAGCTCCTCCGCGACGTCCTCCGGCACTGCGTCGTCCTCATCGGCGGCGGTCTCGTTGCCCTCATCCTCATTCTCGTAGTCGGCCACATTCGCTGTGTTGAGGTTGCGCTTCCACCATCCCCCTTTGTTACCCCGGGCGGCGGGGTTTGTCTCCCAAGGCTTGCGCAGGGCCCTGTCCTGCACAATCGCAGCACGCTGCAACATCTTCAAGTCGTACACATTCCCCACGCTAGCCAAAAGGTTCAGCTCCGAGGCCTCGTCGAGGCCCATTCGGTCCACAAACACCCAGGCACAGGCTATATCTGGTAACCGACATCCACATTCAAGTAGCCTAGCGTACGCTCTGTCGAACTCGCCGCAGTAGTCCCGGATGCTCTGGGAGGGCTTTTTCTTCAGTCTCCTGAAGAACTCCGAAAGGCTCCTCCCGACTTGCGTCACCTGCACGTCCAGGTACCGATCTTTCACCCATTGGGTGAAATACTCCATTCCACTGGGCGAAGCAAGGCGATCGACCTCGAGCCTCTCCGCTTCCACCCAAGCGGGTCCGCTCAGATGCTGGTACAGCACCAAAGCCTGCTGTTCCTTAGCGAGCTTTGTCATACGCTGCCATGCAAGCACCTGACGGAGGTAGGATCTCGCTGAACTTCCCAAATCATCACCGTCGCCTTCTCCACTGAAGCCGGGCACGATCAACTTTTCGGAAGGTCCGCGTCCACCCGCCGTTCCTTGATCAAGCGGCTGAGGGGGTCGCTGATCGCTGCCATCTTCGCTTCCGTGAGAAGGATGGTCGTCGGCGTCTCTGCCTTGATCTCGTCGTGAATCGCCTCGTTCGTGATCTCGCGTTCCCGCCGAGGTGCTCGTCCATGAACCTCCCCAGCTTCCGCGTCTTCCCCATGAGTCGTTGCGACTCCATCGGGCAGCGTCGTGCCATCGGGCGTCACGACCGCTGGGTCGCCATACCCATTCTCCATCTTGGTCATCTGCGTCCCAGTCTTGCCACCCACGCGACTGGTCGTCCTTCTGCCAGTCATCATCGTCATCTTGATGCTCCGTCGCAGCCGCCGGCTCGCCGCCAGTGTTGGTTGCCGCGCCCGAAACATCGTTGTGCCAAACCCCGTCACCGTAGAAGCTAGTCGCGGCCATCGCTCGAGGCCGACTAGAGACAAACAAGACCCCAGAAAAAACACCCCAAAGGACAAACCCTGAGCGCACAGCGCTCCGCTACCAATTTAGAACTGAAAGGAGACCACAGGTCTCAAAAGAGGCAACCCAAGGAAAGACCCTGCCTAAACACAGACACGACCTAAAACCCGAAACCCCCGGGGACCCAGCCTCGTAGTACAGCCGCGGCTTTTCGCGACTGCACAGACTCGTGTGCCTTCCACGGCGACGGTCGTTGGCCTTTCAGCACAAACTAACTGATTTACATTTAGGGTTTAGGGGACTAGGGTGTGTATATATATAATATATATATATATATATACATATATATATATACACACCTTATATATATACATATATATATATATATACACGCTTTGTAGAAGGCCAACCGAGAGAAGGCTAGAACTCTATTCTTGGGCTTAGACCCTATTCAAACTTTTATTCCGCAACTCCAAATCCAGTCCTCCAAGCCCTAACAGAATCTGCCCTCGACCCAAAACCCTCTCAAAATCTTAAACCCTCATTGCCCTAGGAGATGTGCTCAGGGGGGAAAGCAGAGGGTTCTCTTCGTAGCCTCGCGCATAGAGCAATCCCCCCGCGTTAGGATATTCGGGCATTGGAAGATTTCGGCACAGGTGAGATAGACATGACAAGTTCAAGAGCAGCTTATGTGTTTTCTCGCCCTTTCATTCACCATGTTTCAACATGGCATGAGCTCGTCCGAGAAACAGCTAAATTCATACCTCGTGATGCTCTTTCGATTAGTGTCTGACATCCACCACCTGAGCTCGCAAAGATATAAGCTTCCCGTGCCGCAGGCTGCCTTACCTGTAGACTAATCCGGAACCATGAGAGATGGACTAAGAGAAATCGAGCCTTTTCCACCCTTGCCGCCTAATCATTCGCAGGCACTCTGTCAGACATGTCAAACTACCCCAAAAAAGTAGGGTCCCTATAAATTCCAGATTAGGGTTTAGAATAAGAACCTACAAAAAGTAGGGTTTGGTAGGTTAAGGTAGGTTGCAAAGTCGTCGACAGAGAGTTGGAAATCTAGAACTTTGGAGTGTGAACTGAGCATGCAAATCTAGGACCCAGAGTAGGCCCTTATTCCTTTTTTCAAGGTTCAGGTTACCTTATGAACCCCCTTTAAACCAAAAAGGGCGTCCTTTTTATTCCTAGGCTACTCTTAGGTCTAGAAATGCAATCTTTGCCAGGTGCGGTCTGTCGCTGCAGCCGCTGCGGCTGCGGCTTACGGATATGTGGCAGGGAGTGGAGAGCTTTGTTGCGGAGGCCGATCGGGGGGGCGCTTTTGAAGCCGGAACCCTACACGCTAGATTGGGGGGGGGGTCTTCGGAGACACCCAGTCTCGTAGCTTAGTGGTGTAGGATTTTTGGGTTGTGGCTGTTTAGTGTCCAGAGCTTCAGGTTTAGTCTTTCGGCTAACCCTCCGGTTACAGGTACCTGAATAGTAAGGCACTGGGTTACATAGGGTTCCAGTTGCCTATAAGGAGTAGCCGACTATCTAACCCAGTACTGTAGCCTGCCTGCCAGTTTGGTAAGTTTGGGCAGCTGCTGCTTCAGGAAGAACTGCTTGCTACCTACCGTGATGCCGCTGCTTCTGAGAAAGCAGGATACTGACACATTGTCTTGCTAGGTTTCGCGGTTGCCTGAAACTCCTGTGGCTGTCAATCTTGACCCTAGGCCTTAAGTCCCACATGACAGGTCTAAGAGGTGGGTAGTTCTCGAAATTGGAGTCCCTTTTTAGGTCCCCAGAATAGTACGGCACCCTCATTTAAAAATGAACCTCAAAAAGGACCCTAATTTGGAGAAACACCCATGTGTTCTAAAACAGCCATACAGCCCGAAACCCTTTAAGACGCGAAACCCCCAACCCCAAGTCAGGTACAGCGCTGTCTTCTGGACCTCATCACCAAGCCACAAGCGGCCTCCTTGTCGCAGCACCTTGGTGTAAACACATCCCTGCTGCGTTTTAGGGTTTAGGGTTCTGCGATTCAATTCGGTCAGTCTAACTTCGCCCCTAAACCCTAAACTTAGCAAGCTGGTGACTGTCGTACACATCTCAGCTCCATTCCTGATACTTTTACAGGCTAAACCTCCAAACCCTAAGCCCTACAGGTACCGCTAGACCCTACAAGTGGTACCCACTTACCCTAATCCCTAAACCCTAAACCGAAATCCTAAGAGACGAAACCTCACACTCTTATAGCCCTTACCCATAGGCCCCAAAGTAGTTCCTTTTGGGGATTACCTAATAGGATTCTTTATACGAGCCCCCAAAAGGAACCACTTTGGGGCCTTAGGGTAACCCTATAACATCCGGTAGCTGGAGGCTCTCCTTGTCATGTTGGCACCAGTCCCCACCTGGGGTCGACACGTTTGGTTGAGAAGCAATCCTGGGGTTTGAAGTTTGGGATGTTGGGGTCTAGGGCTAGGGTATAATTTCGGCGCATGATGGTAGCATGCTTTGGGGTTTTGTGGGTTTCCAGCACCGCCACCGCCACCACCACAACCGCCGCCGCGGCCACCACCACCACCACCACCACCACCACCACCACCACCACCACCACCACCACCACCACCACCACCACCACCACCACCACCACCACGATTCCTAATGCACAAACTTCACATCCACTAGTCCACCAGTTGTCAATGGAGATGTTGCGGCTGCCTTTGTTGAACCCATCACCCTGGCTGTTCTTAGAACTAGTTGCCGTCGTCGTCGTCCATGTCGGAGTGCGGGTTAACAGAGGTTTCTTCGCGCGAATCCTCGTCACGTACAGCATCCCCAGCAAACTTTTCAGGATTCGCCGTTGGGCTGGCCTGCCAAACGAAGGGCTCCTGCGCTCAGCATGTATGATGATTGGTCTGCAGATGATTTGACATCAACACAAAGGTGCTACGATGCGTTTTGAAGGTTTTCATTTTGCCTTGGAATGCCCTGAGTGAGGCTTCAGGTCAGGTGCACACTCATGATTCGACGAGTCCTCAGCCTTGAAGAAGAAGCAGCAGGATCTGGAGCACTGTGTAGGTTATCAGACATAGTATGGCAACGTGTCGGGCTGAGGTCGTCAGTTCAAATTGTGAGCAGGGGCAAGGATATGAACAGAGCACGTTCGTGTTTGAAAGAAGGCCGGCTAGGCTTGAGCATGTACTAATGCGTTTGTATGCATGTATGCCGCTGGATATAGATGTGCATCTACCTATTGACAAACGTTGGTATACCGTATGCACTTGCATACATAATATGAGCACGCGGCGTGCTGGCATGCTCACCCACACACCCATGCGCAAACACACAAGCATGCATGCTGATGATTGCTGCATGAGCACGAGCATGATGTCAAAAGAGTGTAGACTTGTGTATTTCTTATCAGTTGTTTAGCTATACATATCTCAATGTATTGTACAGCTATATGTTGATGTTGCATTGTCTGCTAACTTGTTTACTCTCTATATCGATATTTAATGACATTTGTAATCACATGATTATAGTTCTGTTCATATTTGCAGTGTACATACATCTACATATGTTGATATGTACAGCTGTATGTATTTGTGTGTTTGTTCGTTTGTTGCGCAGTCTTAATCAATGTATGTGTACAGCTCTCTATCCAAATACATACATAGACATGTATACAAAATGTACAGCGGTATCTGTGCGACCCGACAAGCTAGTCGCCATGTGACTGATCATCAGAGGCGTTTTCGCGGTTGAAGGCTGGAAAACCCGCCCAGGCCTTTGATCGACTGTGCCTGGATCTTTGACAATGCACCCGAGCTCCCAGCGCCGCTGATCCATGCAACTGAGTTTGCCAGGGTCTCGGCCTAGGCTTTTGTTGTCTGCTGGGCCTTCAACATGCGTAGATCTTGTACCCAAAACCGACGCCCCAAACCATCAACTCCAGACACTAAGCCCCAAAGCCCAAACCTTAGACCCCGAACTCAGCATCATTGCGAATCCTAGAGCCTGCTGAGAGCAGGCGACAGGCTAAGGCCCCTTAATTAGCATGACTGGGTTGTCCTTTGGGATCCTTTTAATTTCCCCTACTACTTTGTAGAGAACCATAATAGTAGATATTCTTCAAAGGGCTTAAAGGACAACCCAGATGAAAGACCTTGCCTTTGCTTCGGGACTGCATCGGGTTTAGGGCTTATAGGTTCTGGGATGTTCTAGGGTTTATGACTGAGGTTCTTCAGGGTTTAGGATCAAGGTTCTCTAGGGTTGAGGATTGAGGTGCTTTAAGGTTTACGATTTAGTCTTATAGGGTTCAGGGCCCCTGCTTTGTCCACGTTCTGCCCAGCGCCGGATTCATTTCGTGTGGTCAGCAAGAATCATAAGTACTTAATCTCCTTTCCAACGCAGTTCCGCACTTGCGGATGGCGTGTCAAAGCCGCATGGTGAGTTGAGTCGGCCGTAGGCAGAGCATCCTGGACGCATAACGGTGTGGGTTTGGACAGCTGGCCTAGAATTAGCTCGGCAGCATCGTGTGGGTGTATGTATGTATATGTGTTTACACATATATGTACACATGTGTATATTATGCAGACACACACACACACACTCACATACTGTATACCTGGAGTGCTGATGCACCTACGCCTATGGCGCTCTGTCCCGCATGCATCAGATAAGTCTCGCAAAGATGGCGCAGATTTGCCGAACCCATGTAACTTGATGTATGCATTCCGCCTAGGCTACAAGGAGTTGTAGGGTCATCCGTTTATGAAAACTGTGTCTGCTCAAAACTATGCATTCTTTTTGTGCTGATCGTGTTTGAGGATCCTATCGGCTGGGGTCCCGTATTGTGTAAAGTCATGGTCAGCAACTTGTCCGATTTTTTTCAACCTAAGCCTACCCGAATTACAATTATGGACCCTCATGATCCCCTACCCAGAGGCTCCATAGTAGCATAGTAGTTCCGTTTTGGGGTTCATAGATAGAATCCTACAAGGTAA